CCGTGGTGTAGCGGTTAGCACTCAGGACTCTGAATCCTGCGACGGGAGTTCAAATCTCCCCGGGACCTGCAGTTTTGCAGTTAGTTGATGGTTTAAAAAAATCGTTTGGGAATTAGCTAATTAAAGAATCAGATTTGTTACCAATGGGAATGCTTCCTTCTCATAAGGAATTCATGTTAAATTGTGGAACAGAGCGATTGAATATTCAATGTTCAGTAAAATCTAATTTTCTAATTTTGCATTGTCCCGAAACTTTTTATGTTCGAAAAACCATTGATTCAAAACTTTGTTTAAATGTTTTAAAAGGAATCGAGAATTTAGAATATTAAAATTTGGTTCTCCAAAAATGAGTATTCCTTTTTATTTCCGGAATGTGTGCCTTTTATGAGATATGATAAGTAAGTAGTGAAGCCGTGCATATGAGATGCTAGAATTGAGTTACTCTTATAAGTTCATGATAGGATGATCAAAAGAAAAACTGATATGATGGGAGAAGGATGAAAACAGAGTGAACGTAAGGCAAACTAAGCCGAACCGCGTCTAGAGGATACCAATGACTCCGCAGGCAACGCGCGCTCCAGCATTGCCTGTAGTCTTGCTTTGCTCCGAGTTCCCTCTGCCTAAGTCATCCGCATCCGCGTGAATAACGACAGCTCGACCAATGATGTTGTGCTGTCCTGTTAGTGCAATAACAGAGTCAGAAATGCTGATCAGAGTATCGCCACTTTCCTGAAAAGAAATCGAGTTAAACAATCGTTCTCTTTCTCTTCAAATTATCGGACTGCTAGTATAACTTGTTTACCTTGGAAACAAAATGTTCAAGGTTATCTACTCGTTCCTAACATTACATATCGGCGCTATGTTCGCTTAAAACACCTATGAATGCAGTCACTGCTATTGCTTGGCAAAAGGCATCGAGGAAGGTTGAGTTTTGCATCGCTAATGTTATAATGCAAATTGACTGGACAAGACAACACCTGGATCTCACTTACTGACAGTTTCCATATTTTTGATTTGAAACCTAGTTACACTAGGTTTCAAATCGAAAGTATGGAAAGACGGTATAAGAATGGTTTTTTCTGCAGTACAACCTTATTCAGAAAGATTGATAATCGCTTAAGTAGATAGAAATAGCAAATGAGTTGTGATAAATATGAAGGGAATTAAATGCTGTTAGTGAATTTTTGCTTTTCTCTCATATAATTCTTTGATCAAAACAAAACTTCTTGAGATGTCAAAATTTGACAACATCACTGCAAAAAGTATGTCTCAAGAAACTTTGCCCTACATTTTTAACGGCGGGAAGAAATTTTAGGTAGGGCAAGATTCGGGTCCTGATTCTTGAGCAATGATTGCTCCATCTATAAGTGCAAAACATGCACACTTGGAGCGAGATTAAATGGCAAAAAATAGAGAACGAAGTGGGCTTGTCAACAGTTTTGAGTAAGCGGCACAGAGTCGTAATTCTCTTTGAAAATTTTCAATAAATTTCATACTTAAAAATCGTACTTTGTTTTGATGAAGAGTGCATTTAAAAAATTTCTCTTTTTTTTCGCTTTTTATTGTTGTCTATGAAATGAATTCCTTCTTCCTTCTCAACTGCTGATTTCTTCAAACCTCTCGCTTTCGTCTTCAAAACTGCATGTTTAGGTATTGAG